GTAGAGACTAGAGGACACAGGCTGTAGAGACTAGAGGACACAGGCTGTAGAGACTAGAGGACACAGGCTGTAGAGACTAGAGGACACAGGCTGTAGAGACTAGAGGACACAGGCTGTAGAGACTAGAGGACACAGGCTGTAGAGACTAGAGGACACAGGCTGTAGAGGCTAGAGGACACAGGCTGTAGAGACTAGAGGACACAGGCTGTAGAGACTAGAGGACACAGGCTGTAGAGACTAGAGGACACAGGCTGAGAGGCTAGAGAACAGACTAGAGGACACAGGCTGTAGAGACTAGAGGACACAGGCTGTAGAGACTAGAGGACACAGGCTGTAGAGACTAGAGGACACAGGCTGTAGAGACTAGAGGACACAGGCTGTAGAGACTAGAGGACACAGGCTGTAGAGACTAGAGGACGCAGGCTGTAGAGACTAGAGGACACAGGCTGTAGAGACTAGAGGACACAGGCTGTAGAGACTAGAGGACACAGGCGTAAGACTAGAGGACTAGTAGAGGAGGACACAGGCTGTAGAGACTAGAGGACACAGGCTGTAGAGACTAGAGGACACAGGCTGTAGAGACTAGAGGACACAGGCTGTAGAGACTAGAGGACACAGGCTGTAGAGACTAGAGGACACAGGCTGTAGAGACTAGAGGACACAGGCTGTAGAGACTAGAGGACACAGGCTGTAGAGACTAGAGGACACAGGCTGTAGAGACTAGAGGACGCAGGCTGTAGAGCTAGAGGACACAGGCTGTAGAGACTAGAGGACACAGGCTGTAGAGACTAGAGGACACAGGCTGTAGAGACTAGAGGACACAGGCTGTAGAGACTAGAGGAACACAGGCTGTAGAGGCTAGAGGACACAGGCTGTAGAAGGACTAGAGGACTAGAGGACACAGGCTGTAGAGACTAGAGGACACAGGCTGTAGAGACTAGAGGACACAGGCTGTAGAGACTAGAGGACACAGGCTGTAGAGAGCTAGAGGACACAGGCTGTAGAGACTAGAGGACACAGGCTGTAGAGACTAGAGGACACAGGCTGTAGACTAGAGGACACAGGCTGTAGAGACTAGAGGACACAGGCTGTAGAGACTAGAGGACACAGGCTGTAGAGACTAGAGGACACAGGCTGTAGAGACTAGAGGACACAGGCTGTAGAGACTAGAGGACACAGGCTGTAGAGACTAGAGGACACAGGCTGTAGAGACTAGAGGACACAGGCTGTAGAGACTAGAGGACACAGGCTGTAGAGACTAGAGGACACAGGCTGTAGAGACTAGAGGACACAGGCTGTAGAGACTAGAGGACACAGGCTGTAGAGACTAGAGGACAGGCTGTAGAGACTAGAGGACACAGGCTGTAGAGACTAGAGGACACAGGCTGTAGAGACTAGAGGACACAGGCTGTAGAGACTAGAGGACACAGGCTGTAGAGACTAGAGGACGCAGGCTGTAGAGACTAGAGGACGCAGGCTGTAGAGGCTAGAGGACACAGGCGTGTAGAGACTAGAGGACACAGGCTGTAGAGACTAGAGGACACAGGCTGTAGAGACTAGAGGACACAGGCTGTAGAGACTAGAGGACACAGGCTGTAGAGACTAGAGGACACAGGCTGTAGAGACTAGAGGACACAGGCTGTAGAGACTAGAGGACACAGGCTGTAGAGACTAGAGGACACAGGCTGTAGAGACTAGAGGACACAGGCTGTAGAGGCTAGAGGACACAGGCTGTAGAGACTAGAGGACACAGGCTGTAGAGACTAGAGGACACAGGCTGTAGAGACTAGAGGACACAGGCTGTAGAGACTAGAGGACACAGGCTGTAGAGACTAGAGGACAGCAGGCTGTAGAGACTAGAGGACACAGGCTGTAGAGACTAGAGGACACAGGCTGTAGAGACTAGAGGACACAGGCTGTAGAGACTAGAGGACACAGGCTGTAGAGACTAGAGGACGCAGGCTGTAGAGACTAGAGGACACAGGCGTGTAGAGACTAGAGGACACAGGCTGTAGAGACTAGAGGACACAGGCTGTAGAGACTAGAGGACACAGGCTGTAGAGACTAGAGGACACAGGCTGTAGAGACTAGAGGACACAGGCTGTAGAGACTAGAGGACACAGGCTGTAGAGACTAGAGGACACAGGCTGTAGAGACTAGAGGACACAGGCTGTAGAGACTAGAGGACACAGGCTGTAGAGACTAGAGGACACAGGCTGTAGAGACTAGAGGACACAGGCTGTAGAGACTAGAGGACACAGGCTGTAGAGACTAGAGGACACAGGCTGTAGAGACTAGAGGACACAGGCTGTAGAGACTAGAGGACACAGGCTGTAGAGACTAGAGGACACAGGCTGTAGAGACTAGAGGACACAGGCTGTAGAGACTAGAGGACACAGGCTGTAGAGACTAGAGGACACAGGCTGTAGAGGACTAGAGGACACAGGCTGTAGAGACTAGAGGACACAGGCTGTAGAGACTAGAGGACGCAGGCTGTAGAGCTAGAGGACACAGGCTTGTAGAGACTAGAGGACACAGGCTGTAGAGACTAGAGGACACAGGCTGTAGAGACTAGAGGACACAGGCTGTGAGCTAGAGAGCTAGAGACTAGAGGACACAGGCTGTAGAGACTAGAGGACACAGGCTGTAGAGACTAGAGGACACAGGCTGTAGAGACTAGAGGACACAGGCTGTAGAGACTAGAGGACACAGGCTGTAGAGACTAGAGGACACAGGCTGTAGAGACTAGAGGACACAGGCTGTAGAGACTAGAGGACACAGGCTGTAGAGACTAGAGGACACAGGCTGTAGAGACTAGAGGACACAGGCTGTAGAGACTAGAGGACACAGCTGTAAGACTAGAGACACAGGCTGTAGAGGACTAGAGGACATAGGCTGTAGAGACTAGAGGACACAGGCTGTAGAGACTAGAGGACACAGGCTGTAGAGACTAGAGGACACAGGCTGTAGAGACTAGAGGACACAGGCTGTAGAGACTAGAGGACACAGGCTGTAGAGACTAGAGGACACAGGCTGTAGAGACTAGAGGACACAGGCTGTAGAGACTAGAGGACACAGGCTGTAGAGACTAGAGGAGGCAGGCTGTAGAGACTAGAGGACACAGGCTGTAGAGACTAGAGGACACAGGCTGTAGAGACTAGAGGACACAGGCTGTAGAGACTAGAGGACACAGGCTGTAGAGACTAGAGGACACAGGCTGTAGAGACTAGAGGACACAGGCTGTAGAGACTAGAGGACACAGGCTGTAGAGACTAGAGGACACAGGCTGTAGAGACTAGAGGACACAGGCTGTAGAGAGTAGAGGACACAGGCTGTAGAGACTAGAGGACACAGGCTGTAGAGACTAGAGGACACAGACTGTAGAGACTAGAGGACACAGGCTGTAGAGACTAGAGGACAGGCGAGAGACTAGAGGACACAGGCTGTAGAGACTAGAGGACACAGGCTGTAGAGACTAGAGGACACAGGCTGTAGAGACTAGAGGACACAGGCTGTAGAGACTAGAGGACACAGGCTGTAGAGACTAGAGGACACAGGCTGTAGAGACTAGAGGACACAGGCTGTGAGGACGAGAGGACACAGGCTGTAGAGACTAGAGGACACAGGCTGTAGAGACTAGAGGACACAGGCTGTAGAGACTAGAGGACACAGGCTGTAGAGACTAGAGGACACAGGCTGTAGAGACTAGAGGACACAGGCTGTAGAGACTAGAGGACACAGGCTGTAGAGACTAGAGGACACAGGCTGTAGAGACTAGAGGACACAGGCTGTAGAGACTAGAGGACCAGCTGTAGAGCAGGACTGTAGAGACTAGAGGACACAGACTGTAGAGACTAGAGGACACAGACTGTAGAGACTAGAGGACACAGACTAGAGGACACAGGCTGTAGAGACTAGAGGACACAGGCTGTAGAGACTAGAGGACACAGGCTGTAGAGACTAGAGGACACAGACTGTAGAGACTAGAGGACGCAGGCTGTAGAGACTAGAGGACACAGGCTGTAGAGACTAGAGGACACAGGCTGTAGAGACTAGAGGACACAGGCTGTAGAGACTAGAGGACACAGGCTGTAGAGACTAGAGGACACAGGCTGTAGAGACTAGAGGACGCAGGCTGTAGAGACTAGAGGACACAGGCTGTAGAGACTAGAGGACACAGGCTGTAGAGACTAGAGGACACAGGCTGTAGAGACTAGAGGACGCAGGCTGTAGAGACTAGAGGACACAGGCTGTTCGCTGCTCGTTCTGTGATTGGAGGAGAACGTCCCGCTCAGACTCTACTCAGCACTTTTCACTGCTTGTAATTCTTACACAGCTGAATCAATTACCTCAAGTTTTCAATTAAATGATGTATTATGATACAACTTGTATGTATTAAAAAGTATTTTTATGAACTACTTAGAAAAAAAATCGGGTATAGCTTCTTTAAGTACGGTATGAGAACCATCAAACAATGTTGGGCAGTTAATACTCTCGCTTCTCAGCAACAAAGTTCTTTGATTCAGATCCCGGTCGGAACAGGGTCCTCTGAGTGGAGTTTGCATGTTCTCCCCATGTCTGTGTAGGTTTCCTCCGGGCGCTCCGGTTTTCCCCACCACTAAAAGCACTCCTGTAGACTCCTGCTGAAGCGAGAGACAAACGTCCACAATCTGTGAAACATGCTGTATGTATATGTACAGTATATATGTACATATAACTATATATAACTATATACTATATATATATAGGAAACATATTAATGAACCAAACTCCAGTTTATGTGAAGCTTCTGTCAAACATGTTTCTAGATAAATACTCGAGTACACATCATGTTCCAGGATAAATACTCCAGTACACAACATGTGTCTGAATAAATACTCGAGTACACAACATGTTCCTGGATAAATACTCGAGTACACACCTGCAGTTCATTCAAAGTCGCACAACCACAAACGTTTGCTTTTGAGACAAACGGCTCCTGTTGAATCTGAGCCAAAACA